TTAAGAGATGCGTTAATTAATTTTGCTATGAAAAACTTAAATTAAATTCACTCAATAAACACCTGTCATTAAAGAGATGTTTGAATTGAATATTATGTCGGCTAGCTGGCTGGCTATCTATCTATCTATCTATCTATCTATCTATCTATCTATCTATCTATCTATCTATCTATGTCTGTAAATTCTTATCTATCTAAATATCTATCTTTTTGTTTGTTTTTTTCCGTGATGTTTTAAGCCCTCTTCTTTTTACTTAAAAAAGCGAACAATAAAAACGAACTCAAATTTAGTTAAAGACAACTAAAGAATAAAAAAAGAGTAGAAAAATAATAAAGTAAACCAGTAATAACCAATGTAGGAGGAATATTCCAAAAATTAATTAGAAAACACTTTGCTGTAGCTATTTGAAGCTCTTCAATAAAAATAATATTAGTTAGTTATTGTTGTGGAAAAATATGAGAAAGACAATTGACAAACATAACAGAAATTTGTTCAATAACAGTGATTGTGAACAGAAGAAATCCAGGTGCAATTGTTAATTAAAAATGCCCGTTCTATGAAATGTAATTGCATGGCTGGAAATATAGTTTATTTGCCGAAAACAAAGGTAGAAGATATTAATAAACTCAAGAAGAAAACATATATGGGGGCTACTAAAAATGAGTGGAAAAAAAATACTATAATCATAAATTGAGTATTAAACACAACAAATATAACAAAGCTACCACACTGATTACTGGAAGATTAAAAGAGAAGCAAGTCCCTTAAAATTACTTGGAGAATTTATAACAAAACCAGTAAATGTTTGAAATACTAAGCTTGATCAGCGATAACATAATGCTAAATAAACAGTCAGAGTTAATTAGCGGATATAGACATAATATCAGTCAGTTAAGTGCCATGCGTGATACACACGCTTGTATTATCATGTATCTTTCGATACTTCACTGACGATGCAGAAGATTTTCCCCGCAATGCGTTGCCATTTCTTTCTGCGATAGACTGGTTGCCAACTGGTATGGTCCGGTTCCTTGTACCCCGGGTGATAGTCCAAGGTAGAACCAATAAAGAAGAACTCGAACACGGGTATGGAATAACACAGATATATTACAAACAGGAATATATACAGAGAAGTAGAAGTGTTAGTATGAACAATCAGGTTTAGTAGAGAGAACAATGTAGTCTCGACCAGTATCACTATTCCAATGTCTTGCAGTAATTGTCTGAACGCGACTCTGTTTCGGACTGCCTCTGACTCGACTCTTGACTCGACTTATTCAGTCACTCCCACCCACTAGGGCATCATGTGGCACAAGGTCGGTTTTTTAAAGTGGGAACTCCGAGCCCGTGGGATCGGCCCAAAAATATACCCATTGAACCTGTATAAACGGGTTCAGGGTCGGTTTACCTCCACGAAAGATACTCCGCCCTTCGGCGAAGCCTCGTTCGGGTTCCTCACCGCCCGAATGCAGAGAGTTCAACCGCTCAGCCGGTCAAGACTTGAACTACTGACTATTTTTAGTCACCCCCCACGTGGTCATCATGTGGCACAAGGCTGGTTTAACGTGGGATTTCTGAGCCCGTGGGCTCGGCCAAAAATATGCTCATTGAACCCGTATAAACAGGTTCAGGGTCGGTTTACCTCCCCGAAAGAGAATCCGCCCTTCGACTTGAACGACTGACTCCCTGCCTACTGCTGAGGCGCAGTATTTATTAAGTATGGAATAGTCCATTATTATTATTATTGTGGGTAAGATCCCATAACACCAACCAAAGAACCCAGTATGTCCTGCTATTTAACCCATAGCTAGTGGAGAAGAGATGGATTCATAACTTTCTTATGGGTATTTATGCGTAAGTGAATCTAAAGAACTCAACTGGCATAATATAATATACTTATTTTGGTTACCGGTCAGCTTACTAGTTTATTTGTTTAATTGTTACTTGGGGGGGGATCTCACTTCCTCGTTTATATTAGTCAACTTAATTAGTTAGGCTCACCCACGGGAATTATTTTCTACAGGTATTATTTTTCCCGTGGGGCTTTAAGGAAGGTGTCTTACGGTAATGGGTATATAAAACCTGAACCCCGCCTTCTTTCATTTGCGTTCTAGTCGTCTAAAGATCGGGAGAACGTAAAACTCGGGTAATGACTCGGGCTGTTCTTTAATCGGAGTTAACGTTGGGAAGCTTTTTCTGTTTAGGTAATCTAGGCGTTGAGCACTTTTGTTTGCTGAGAAGACAGGTGTTTGAATTTCAGTTATTTTTTTTTCCTTTTTTCTTGCTTTCTTCGACATCTTTACTTGATTAAAGTATTAAGTGCCTTGGCAAGTTTGTTGGTTCCGCCAACGTACTTAGTTTTTCTGTAATATCTATCTAGCTTTCACTTTTCTGCAGTGGTGTTAACTGGGTAAAAGAGTAAGAGGCACAGTTTATGCAAATATGCGTGGAAGGTAACGGTTAACCCGAGACTTGAACAACTTAAGATTGTAGTGATCGAGTAAACAACCTCTTGAGAGTCGATTCCACAGAGCAGTGATTCGTAGGAAAAAGCTGCTTGAGTGGAAATTACATCTCACCAGAGGAATATGAATGGGATGAGAGTGGTTGGCTACAACAGCGGGTCCTTGGCGCGAAGGTTAATACTGGTGGCACTAGGGAGTGTAGTTCATCTGAACACTCAACATGGAAATACCGATAGAACAGTGAGAGGTTTGCGATGTCCCGTCTCGTCTGTCCGAATGGGGTTGCAGAGAGGAAAATAATTCGTCGTCTCCAAAGACGCGCAGCTGCTTTTGAACTCTCTCAAAAATGGAACTCATAGACTGGGTTGCTTCTGCCTACATATGACAGCAGTATTCCATTTTCAGGATGATCTGTCTTTTGTAAATGTAGGGGATACCAGGAGGAGTTAGGTACCTTCTCCAGTGGTACAGGCAACCGACCCTTTCCTCCCCCATTTTTAGTGATGGATTGTATAAACGTGTTCCACTTGAGGTCTGGGTCGAATTTAAGCCCCAATAGACGCTCAAGACACGGGGCCTCCTTAAGGAACATCCGTTCATCACAATTGGTGAAAGTTTTGAGCCCGACCAGCGATGGCGAAAAGTCACTAGCTTGGATTTTTGAGGAATTAAATGCAACCTTCCAGTTTTTACCCCGGTGAGCTGTTAGAGCTAGATCAGAGTAGAGATCAGCTGTCAAGCTTTGGTCATCTAGGGTTTTGAAGGTGTGTCCATATAGCAGCGGTCAGCAACCTTTTTGTGGGAGATGGCCAGAAAGCTATGCGGCGTCTCGGAGGAGGGCCATGATATACTATAATAAATCGACTCGACCCCAGACCGCTCGGTCCAGAATGCTGCTTTGGTCTGGAAGTTTAAACAAGAACAACGTAGTTAATGTTATGTTATTTAAGCAGAGTTCCTTATATTACTGCAGAAATAACAGAATAACAACTAACAAAATAAAAAATGCAAACTCCTTACTACAGTTAATTTGGCGGGCCGGACGAAAATCATTCGCGGATATGGCCCGGGCGCAGGTGGTTGCCGACCCCAGCCATATACCGTTGTGTCATCAGCCTAGATATAAACAAAGAATCTTAGGCAGGTGTTTTATGTAAAGGTGTAAGAGGATTACACCGAGAAGCAGACTTTGGGGGTCGCTCGCATTGATCACCAGGAACTCGAAAGACTAGCCATTAAATCTGTCTTCCTAACGGGACCTACCCGTTAGGAAGGGCTTTATAACACTTCCAGTGACTTCATAGCTAAAGATACTGAATAGTAACGCCTTATACAATACATTTGTGAAGGGCCTTTGAAATATTTAATGGGACCGTCCTTGAGATATATTTGTTGTCAAGTGCCTGTTCACATCTATCTATCAATCTATCTATCTATGCATTTCTTTTTCTTTCTATCTATCTATCTATCTATCTATCTATCTATCTATCTATCTATCTCTATCTATCTATGTAATGCTGTTTCTAGCTATGTAATTCTGTTTCTATCTATCTCTCTATGCATTTCTGTTTCTATCTATCTATCTATCTATCTTATCTATCTATCTATCTATCTCAGCCTGTATGTATGTATGTATCTATCTATCTATCTATCTATCTATCTATCTATCTAATGCTGTTTCTATCTAATTCTCTTTCTATCTATCTATCTATCTATCTATCTATCTATCTATCTATCTATCTATCTATCCCTTTGTGTGTACACTGGCTATTTTGGAAAGATCAAATCAGATTGTCTCATTAGAAATATTTCACTTTCAACTCAGTGAATTCCAGAAATGATTGAAAAAGCTTTTCTTTCAAAAATAGCACGTCACTGGAAAATTCACAGCAATTATATTCTGCGCTAAAAGGTACAAACACTGATGGAAAATAATTGCACAGTGGGGCGAAGGCTGATTTTTTTTATCCACAATAAATTAGTTGCATGTAAGCAGAAATTTTATAAAATTGCCCAGAATAAACGACAAGCCTGTTGTTCGGCAAAGAATGGAAACAAAACGGTTTTTCGAATTTGTCGTTTGTATAAGAATAAACAAGCAATCAGTTCTTGGCTAATTTCTCTCGAAAATATTCGAGCGCACATGCTGATCGGTGTTTGGGAGATTTTTGTCAATGACGCCACATGTTCGTGTTCGAGGATAAGTCAAAGGCCAGATTTTAGACTGTTATCAGAGCAAACATGTATTATCCTTTTCATAGAGGGCACAACCAATTTTTCAAGCATGAAATACTATCTACTTCCATCTATCTTATCTTTGCAATTCTGTTTCTATCTATGCAATTTTATTTTTATCTATCTATCTATCTATCTATCTATGCAATACAATTCTATTTCTATCTATCTATGTAATTCAATTCTGTTTCTGTCTATCTATCTATCCATTTATCTATCTATCTATGCAATTCTGTTTCTATCTCTCTGTCTATCTATCTAACTATCTATCTATCTATCTATCTATCTATCTATCTATCTATGCAATACAATCCTATTTCTATCTATCTATCTATCTATCTATCTATCTATCTATCTATCTATGTAATTCAATTCTCTTTCTATCTATCTATCTATCTATCTATAAATGCAATTCTGTTTCTATCTATCTATCTATCTATCCAATTCTGTTTCTTTCTATCTATCTATCTATCTATCTATCTATCTATCTATCTATCTATGCAGTACAATTCTGTTTCTATCTATCTATCTATCTATCTATCTATCTATCTATCTATCTATCTATGCAATTCTGTTTCTATCTCTCTGTCTATCTATCTATCTAATTCTCTTTCTTTCTTTCTTTCTTTCTATCTATCTATCTATGCAATTCTGTTTCTATCTTTCTCTGTCTACTTATTCAATTCAGTTTCTATCTATCTATCTATCTATCTATCTATCTATCTATCTATCTATCTAATTCTGTTTCCATCTATCTATCTATCTATCTATCTATCTATCTATCTATCTATTCTTGCCTGCGTTTTTTGGTCTGTTTGCATATATCTACATTAGCATGTTCATATATATGTGTATGTATGTACTAAAAAAGAATACAAGTAAAACTCAGTAGAGAATGGTGTCAAGCAGGGAGGCATTTCCCCTTCTACGGGTTTTGCCATATAATACTTCATTCCTGTTAGCGATGGCTTTTTAGGATTGATCTCATTACATCTACATTAGATATTGCAGGGCATATATATATATATATATATATATATATCATGGGGTGGTATTAACCAATTCCTTACGGGCACAAACGAGAACCTTACACAAGTATGTGTTTGTGTGTGTGTATGTGTGTGTATGTTTGTGTGTGTATGTTTATGTGTGTGTATATATATATATATATATATATATATATATACACACATATATGTATGTTTGTGTGTGTATATTTATATATATATATATATATATATATATATATATATATATATATATGTAAGCAAATGTAAATGTATATAGATCTGACAGAATGAAAAAAATTTGAAAAAAACAAAAATCTTAACATAATTGCATTTAAGGATTTTGTTTTTTTTCCAAATTTTTCTCATATATATATATATATATATATATATATATATATACACACATAAAATACACACACACACACACACAAACACATACTGTATAAGGTTCTCGTGTGTGCCTGTAAGCAGTCTGTTTTTGCCAATATGTATGTATATATATATATATATATATATATATATATATATATATATATATATATATATATATATATATGTGTGTACATATGTGTCTAATAATTCCTTATAAGACAGTATGTATGTATGGAGAGGGAATTTACGGATACATATATATGTGTGTGTGTATGTGTGTATATGTAAAGGTGTATATATATGTATATGTGTGTAAGTGTATATATATATATTTATTTGTGTATGTGTGCATGTGTATGGATGTGTATGTGTGCATATGTATATGTATGTGTGTATGTATATGTATATATATATATATATATATATATATATATATGTATATGTGTGTATATGTGTATAGATGGGTATATGCATGTGTGCATGTGTATGTATATATATGTATGTGAAAAGTGTGTGTATATGGATATACATGAATATGTGTATGTGTAGATATGTGAATGTATTTTTATGTGTGTACATGGTTGTGTGTACGTGGGTACACGCCTATGTGTATATACGTGTATATGTTATTGTGTATGTGTGTATTCGCATGTGTTTTTGAACATAAATATATAGGTCCTTGCTGGATTAGATAATCGTTATATTTATTTTTTATATGTTTATTTTTGATTTGTAACCTGTATTCGATATTAAATTTGTCAAATTTTCTCAATTACAAAGCGGCCCTTTAAGTAAACGTAATTTCACTTTCCTTCGCCCCATCTCTCTCCCCCACCTCGTCTTTCCCTCCCTCTTATTCTAACCTTAGATTGTCTATGGTGTGTGTATGTCACCACGAAATCTATCTTTATGCATCCGACATCTGACAACATTCATTTTTCTCTTACTTAAACCCCTTCCATCCACCTCTCCTAATATTCTCTCTGTTAAGGTTTAATCTCCCCCCCTCATACTTACACTCTCTCTAAATTCTGTTTTTATTTCCGGAGTTGTTTTTCTGTTTTCTTTTTGAATTTGTAGGTCTGATGAATTGGATCGTATTTACGATTCCAATGGAATAAATTATGACCATGGAATATTAGTGTTTAAGCTTTTTTATTATATAAAAAATAGAAATAGATCTAAGAACACACAGGGCTCATTAAAAGATAGGAATACAGATATCTTTCTTACACTTTCACGGATCAATCTTGATTATTTTATTACACTTGACTCAGAACTTTTTCATTGTCAGTTCACGGAAGACATTGTGGTTACTAACACACAAAAAAGAGAATGTCTAATATCGAGAATATTTAATATCGAAAAACATAAGAAAAATAAATTCCTTTTAATAATATGTGGGAATATCCACTCTTTGATGCATGAAACTCGCGAGCATTATTATGGAAAATAAAGCATAATATATTTTTTAAAAATCCACATTACAACCAAAAACGTTTGAGGTTTCTCTCTTCATTTTAATATACACACTTTTCTCTCTTTGGAACTACTATAACCTCTTCCCCTATATATATATATATATATATATATATATATATATATATATATATATATATATATGAATGACATTTTAGAATGTTCTAGATTTTGGTTAAAAAATTTTGTTTTTCTTCCGTCTGCGGGCGGACTACAAATTAGCATAGAAAATTTAAGCGTCTTTTTCGCGGTAACAAAAATAAAATAATCGATTAATTGTCGGATTTTAATTAGAACTCTCAGGACTTATTCACAAATGATTAAAATTATTTTAGAAATGAGTTTTTTCTTTTTTTTTAGAATATCTTGGTAAAATATTATTTTACATCTGTTATCCGTCCCACTTTATTTTATTGAAATTTCAGTAAATTAAATTTTGTTAAGCTTAATGTTTATATTAGTTAAAAGAAGAAGTCCTTGGAGAATTTAAATAATAAAATTTCTTTTTGTAAAACAGGACCCCAGTTTCCGAAAATGTGCTTTGAATCGTAAATATAAAATGTAATACAACTAATATTTTATTTAATTAGAAAAGCTTTTAATTGCTTTTGTGAATAAGATATGTTATGAACATTATTGTCGCAAAAAATCGATGAAGAATGTATTTTACTAGAATTGCTTTCATTTTTTTTAAATTTTAATTAGAATAATAATTTATAAACTGTTAAACATTTTAATTTAGAATAATAATTTATAAACCTTTTCATTTTGAATAATAATTTATAAACTGTTAAACCTTTTAATTTTCTGTCTTAATTTGTAACAGTTCGATGAGATTGTTATTAAGTAAAAATTATATTTATTAATCATAAATAGAAAAAAATAATACAATTCATCGACCACTGATATATTAAAATTATTTTTTTTGTGTGTCTAAATGCTACAAATTGTGTAGATATGGTTGTTCATACACGACAATATGAGAAAATAACAGCAATAACTATAGTTACAATAAAGCCAAAGTACTAAAATTTAATAAAACTTTAGTTTATGGGAAATATTTTCTTAAATAATTAAGATTACTGAGTACTTAAAAATTATATAAAATGCGCTCACGTTATATTCCTCAGTTTTTTTTTATAGATATATCCACCGTAGGAAAACATTAGATAAGCATTCATCTGTCATTCAAGCTACCAACACGTCATCACCTTAAACAGCTATCGCCGTGTTAAAAATGTATTTCTGCGATATTTAAACTTAAATTAAGTAATATTTGTTCAACATGAGATTAATTAAATTTTAAATCAGCTTATATTCCTCAAATGGAGATTCAGAAACGTATCTTTTATTTTTGGAAGATTTTTTAATAGAGAATTACATTCTGATGACAGGTGGTTAAAAAATAACGCTAAAAATCAACGATTTCAGCGGTTTCAAAATGAAAGCTCCCTCTAGTCAAGTTAAATTAGTTTTGAAATATAGCAAAGGATTTTCCGATTGGAAATATTAAATTTAATCTATTAGCTTGAAATTAAAACCAAAATAAAATCTTTAAGAAAGATTTTTCATTTTTAAAAATTCATTTTAAAACTTAGGTACCGCAATTCTGTGGTGGTAGCTTTTTAAAACACCTCTGGAGATGCCCTCTCTTAGTTACAAAATGATACTTATAAAATCTGTAACGACTTGACGAGGAATGAATGCTAACCATTTCTTCATGGTTGTGACCACCATCCAAATTTTCAAATGTTTTTCCAATAACAATTTTTCCACATACTGCATATATTAAGTCGAATATCAAAGATTATACAGTTCTCTAACGTTCTCTGACCATACTCGGATAGATTAAAAAAAAAGCATCATTATTTTTAGTTATTTGATAGATTTTAGGAAGTGGGTCAGGCTAAGACCTTTCGTAGATGTTTAGGAATTACTGTTTTCAAGTAATCGCTATTCATGTCGGTTGATTCTTGCATCACTCAAATATGTTGAAAGGGAAAATAGATTTTTGAAAGATTTTGTAGCAGCAGGACAAAAAAAAACTTACCTTTTATCAGTTATCTGAAATCTGTAAGTTGTTTTAAAAATTCTTGTCGCTGAACGATTAATATTTTCCAGACAAAATGATTTTATTAGCTGAGTAAGAACCTGAACAGGCGTATTATATATGATTAAATCTCTTATCCAAAATGAACGGAATGATACGAGAAAGAAATCGAGGAAAATTAGCCATAGTAAGAAAGACACTAAATTTCATTAGAAATTTTTGCCCCTTCTGTTTGCCTCGGGGTTCGTGATAGGCTCCAGGGGCGGATATGCAATATAATTGGCCCTGTTCTGGCATCTCGTCTACAGTCGCTCTCTCACAGACGCGCTGTCACCTCTCTCTGTCTTTTTTACAAATACTTTCATGGCAATTGCTCCGAGGAGCTGCATTCGCTGGTTCCCAGACGTCATAAGTTCAAGCGCCCTACAAGGCTGGCATCCCGCTCTCACCCTTTCACTGCCAAAACTACTAAATGTAGCCGTCTCTTCTACTCCAATAGCTTCATATCTCGCACCTCTCGCCTGTGGAACTCCCTTCCCTATTCCCGTTTCCCTGAGAGCTATAATCTCCAACTATTCAAATGTAATGTCAATCGACATCTCCAGTTGCTTTGATCTGTCCACTATCCTTCTCCTCATCCTTTCCTGTATCACTCCTATCTGATCTTGCTCCAAATCTTCTGTAACCCCTTGCGTCCTAGTGGCTTCCCGCCTTGCTTGGAGTGAAACGCTTAAAAAAAGTAAAGAAGCTTGTTAATACTCTGAGAAACATACATCTTTTATGAAATAGGAAAGCAAATCAATATCAATGAAAGTAAACTGCATAGTTGATGTGTTGAAATATAGAGAACACGAAAAACAGTGTAATAATATCATTTAATCCGAGCCAAACAGAAGAAATGTCTTGGTCTCAATAAACTTCCACTCTTCAATAGTGACTATACTAACGTGATGATGCCAGAGAAATAAAATGTGCATAATATATAGCAACAAACACCGGAAACAACTTATCCAACTTTGATTTTAAATTTATCAATGCTATCTCTGTTTATGCCTTTTTTTGATTTGTTTGTTTGTTTCTTTATTTGTTTCTTTCTTTCTTTTGTTTTTCTAGCCTTTCTTTATTTGGTTTCATCCTCAGCTTCTTTTATTCCTTTTTTATACTCTTTTTTTTATCTTTTTTTCTTTCTCTTTTATTTTTTTTTCATTTACCTTTCTCATTTTTAAGGGAATAATAACTTTTCTTAATTAATTTCCTTACTTTCTTTCTTTCTTTTTCATGTTTTTATTTTGTCATTTTGCTTGATTTGTCTTTTTTCTATTCTATTCCAGTTTTTCTATCCTGTGCTTAATGTTATAGTCTCTTCCTTCTTTCCTTCCTGCCTTCTAACATTTTACCTCCTTTTTATTTCTTTCCTTTACTATTACTGTCTTTTTTCACTTGTTTTTAAATATATAGTTGTTTCTTTCTTGTCCTCGGCGTATTCTTTCTTTCTTTCTTTCTTTCTTTCTTTCTTTCTTTCTTTCTTTCTTTCTTTCTTTCTTTCCATTGATATTCTTTCCTTTGTTCCATTTGTTTATTTAATATATTAGTCCTTTTTTTCTTTGTCCTCTGTGTTTTCTTTCTTTCTTTCTTTCTTTCTTTCTTTCTTTCTTTCTTTCTTTTAATTCTTTACACTGATATTCTGTTCTTCCTTCCATTTGTTTATGTAATATATTAGTCCTTTCTTTCTTTTGTCCTCTGTGTTTTTTTCTTTCTTTCTTTCTTTCTTTCTTTCTTTCTTTCTTTCTTTCTTTCTTTCCATTGATATTCTTTCCTTTGTTCCATTTGTTTATTTAATATATAAGTTCTTTCTTTTGTCCTCAGTGTTTTTTTCTTTCTTTCTTTCTTTCTTTCTTTCTTTTTCTTTCTTTTTTCCATTGATATTCTTTCCTTTGTTCCATTTGTTTATTTAATATATTAGTCCTTTTTTTCTTTGTCCTCTGTGTTTTCTTTCTTTCTTTCTTTCTTTCTTTCTTTTAATTCTTTACACTGATATTCTGTTCTTCCTTCCATTTGTTTATGTAATATATTAGTCCTTTCTTTCTTTTGTCGTCTGTGTTTTTTTTTCTTTCTTTCTTTCTTTCTTTCTTTCTTTCTTTCTTTCCATTGATATTCTTTCCTTTGTTCCATTTGTTTATTTAATATATAAGTTCTTTCTTTTGTCCTCAGTGTTTTCTTTCTTTCTTTCTTTTTTCTTTCTTTTTTCTTTCTTTCTTTCTTTCTTTCTTTCTTTCTTTCTTTCTTTCTTTCTTTCTCTCTTTTAGTTCTTTCCACTCATATTCTTTTCTTCCTTCCATCTGTTCATTTAATATATTAGTCCTTTCTTTTTCTTTCTTTCTTTCTTTCTTTCTTTCTTTCTTTCTTTCTTTCTTTCTTTCTATTAATTCTTTCTATTTAAGTTGCTTTCTTCTTTCCATTTGTTTATTTAATATATTAGTTCTTTCTTTCTTTTTCCTTTTTGTTTTCTTTCTTTCTTTCTTTCCTTCTTTCTATTAATATTGCCTTCTTTTTTTCATTTGTTTATTTAATATGTTACTTCTTTCTTTTGTCCTCAGTTTATACCTTCTTTCTTTTTTCTTTCTTTCTTTTTTTTTCATTTTTTATATATCTTTCTTTCTCTCTTTTTGATGTTTCTTTCTTTTCTATTTTCATTCTTTCCTTGTGTCTCATTTTCTTTTTCTCTTCCTAACAATCAATCTTCATTACCTACTTAGTTTTTTTTCTGCTTATGCACTCATTTCGATTTTTTTTGTTTCCAGTTTCTTCACATCAAAAGAATCTTTTTACTTTTGCTTCACAAAATACTTTTCAATTCTTCCATTATTCTTCGTACCTACCGACATTATTCCGCGCATATCTGAATTGTTTGTTACGTCATTATTCTTGTCACTTAAAGAATCCCTTTAATGCCCAAAGTGATTCTTTGATAGCCAATGAAAACAAGACGTGACAGTTCCAGAGTCCACCGACAAAATTATTCAGAAAGCAGAATAATGGTAGGCCTAAAAATATTTCTCTCATGACCTTGAAGATTCAAAGAATTTCTTCATCTACTCGTTAGAAATACATACATGCTTACATCATCGATATTCAAGTAAAGAAAGAAAGAAAGAAAGACAATGATAAAAAGAAAGAAAGAAAGAAATAATATAAGGAAGAAAGAAAGACAATCAAGAAATAATATAAGAAAGAAAGATAGGAAGAAAGGCAATCAAGAAAGAAAGACATAATGTAAGAAAGAAAGAAAGAAAGAAAGAAAGAAAAAGATTGTAAGAAACTGATGAGTAAAAGAAAGAAAAATAATATAGCAAAGAAAGAAAGAAAAAAGAAAGAAGCTGAAAAACAGAAAAGAAATTATATAGTAAAGAAAAAAGAAGGAACAAGAAGAAAAGAGACTGAGGTCTAAAAGAAAGAAGGAAGAAAGAAAGAAAGAAAGAAAGAAAGAAAGAAAGAAAGAAAGGATGAAAATATGAAAGTATAAAAAAGAGAGATTGGATGGAAGTAAAAGAAAGAAAGAAAGAATGGATGGAAGTAAAAGAAACAAAGAAAGAAAGAAGGAAAGAAAGAATATATTAAAGAAAGAACGAAAGAAGCTGAGAAATAGAGGAAAGAAAGAAATAATATAGTAAAGAAAAAAAGGAAAATAAACAACAGCTGCGGACTAAAAGAAAGATTAAATGATACAGTAAAGAAAGAAAGAAAGAAAGAAAAGAAGAGAAAAGAAAGGAAAGAAAGAATATATGAAAGAAAGAACGAAAGAAGCCGAGAAATAGAGGAAAGAAAGAAATAATATAGTAAAGAAAAAAAGAGAAAAGCCAACAGCTGCAGACTAAAAGAAAGATTAAATGATACAGTAAAGAAAGAAAGAAAGAAATAATATCGTAAAGAAAGAAAGAAAGAAAGAAAGAAGAATAAAGTAAAACTCAGATATAGAATAAGGAAATGAAGAAAGACAGAACGCACTAAAGACAAAAAGAAGGTGAGTTCTAACAGAAACAAAGAATATAGTAATGAAATAAAGATGAGGTTTAATAAAATGAAATAGAAGTAAATATATAATATACTAAAGCAAGAAAGTCTATCGGACTTTTCAAGCTGACGCAACAACATTTTGAAATATTCAGCAATATTGAAAAAATCATTCAAGTACAGATATTTTCTACGACTTTTATGCATTAAAAACAAATAATTCTAAGATGGCTGTGCCATTAAGGTCGTCGTAAACACTGAACATATATTTATTCATATACTTTATACAAATTTTATTTCAAACCTGGCATAAATTAATCCTTTTCGGGATGATGAATATAAAAGTAATTATAAATAATAATAATAATAATAATAATAATAATAATAATAAATAAATAAATAAAATAAAAATGAAAATTTAAAAAATGAATTTCTTAATCTGTAATTGTTTTTTAATATATTGCTATCGATTAAACCGTCAAGATTATAAATTTCAGAGTATATAAACAAAGTGCGTTCTAGAAATTTTGAGACATTTTCAGACAAGATATTTATTTTTTCCAAAGAAGTATAAAACGCTAATCAATTTCAAATTCGGATCATCTAACTTCAATTTCTTGTTTTAGTGCTCAAGCCAGGAAAGTCATCCAAAGTGAAGCCGTCCAAGCACCTTGTCACAGCCTCCTTCATTATTTCAATGTCTTCAAAATGACTGACTCTGAGGCCCTCTTTCGGTCTGGGGGACAACCAAAATTCATAGGGAGCTAGGTCTGTGTTTTAGGGATGGTGATAGACACGGTTGATGTCCAGTAACCATCTCCATGTTGTCATCAACGTGTCTTTCCTTCTATTCATCACCGTGAAATCTGAAAATAAACACTGAACACTTTTTGCGCATGTTCAGATCTTCATAAATGATTCTGTGTACTGTTAACACACCAACTCCAAACTGTGTAGTTATTGTCTTTGTCTAGACAGGCGACGGTCTTCATCCAGAAAATTGCCAATTTATCAGCCATCTTTCATATTCTGACATTTCTCTTCTTCCCACATCTCTCGTCGTCTCCCACTTCCTCTCTACCGTTCTTGAACCCATTGTGCTAGTGAAAAAAAAAATGCAAGTTAATGCATAAGGAGTCTAGAAGATTTCATATGTACTCACTGTAACTCATTTTATTGCATAGTCAGCTTCTAAAATACCTTCACGTTCTACTGCATTCTGGAAAACTATTTAGCTGGTACAAACATGTATTTAGGAGACTGTGTCCAAATAACTGTTACAGTTGTCGCCATCAGTCTGGAATTAAAAGAGTTTTGAGATCAGCTTATTGGATATATAGTAATTTAGGAGGGGTGCGTAAAAAGCCCTTTTCTTTCGGCTGATGCTGACGGATGTATTTTAATATGAATAGTCGGGCACCTAGTTATGTCTTTCTGTTTTGCAATGTCGTAGCACGATGCTTTCAAGGAGGCCGCCTTACTCGTTCAGACTCAGGTCGGGGTGCTGTTGGAGCCGATATGATGCAAAACCCGAAATCAACGATGAGGACAGTGAATCGCTGAAGACCAACCTTGATGAATCTAAACTGTATTATGCAGCTAATGATATACTAGAATTACAATATTTTAGGACAGTTAAAACTTCCTCTGCTGAAATAATCTCAAAACTTAAATATATATAAGTGATAGAAATTATTAGGAGGATTTGAGATAATTAAGTAATTCATCGAGTGTAGAAGTGTTGTAGAGTAGTTTTCTCAGTAGAGGCTTGTATTTCGCTAAGTCGGTCCTAAAAGGGTCCGACGTACAAAACGTTAGGAACTTGAAATAAGAGTTAATGACGCAGCAATCTAATTGTGGTCGTTGATACTTCAATGTCCGACATCGTCTGACTCACTCAACTCCACTGAGCCCAACTGGCCACTGCTACTACTACTTATTATCTGTGGGAGAGTCTATTACAATAGAATAGGTAATGTTCTGGTATAACAAGAAGAAACCTCAACAGAATGCAGAAAGCACTAGACGGCCGTTTCGTCCTATATTTGGGACTCATCAGCAGTGCGCATCCACTACCAAGAATGAAAAACCGTTATCAGGCAAACGTCATACCAACTGTACCAACGGGCCTCGGTGACGTAGCGAATTAGAATCGATATAGCGCCGCTCGCTCACATATTCCCTGGTGGAACCCACCCGAGTTTCCCTTACCCATAGGACTGTACCCCCGCGAGCACAGAAGAGACTTGACGCAACGGAAATGTGTTTCTACAGAAGGATGCTGAGAATACCAGGGACAGAAGGCGTAAGTAACGAAACAGCTTTATGGAAAATGGAAATAAAAAGTGCGTTTATACTTAAAATCAGAAAGAGACAATTGAATGCAGTGAAGAACGAGGGTTGGAAGAATTTGGCACTCACAGGTCATACTAAAGGCAAGATGAATAGCAAGAAACAGTGAGTACCCTAAAAATATAGTGTAAATAGGTGACAGAACGATGATTGTTAGGGATGGGGAAAAGTTATTACTCAGGGTTACAGCGTACAGGATATTTTGGAAAGCTATGATTGCACTCTTCTTGAAGGAATACGTCATATAGTGAGAAAGTATATATTACATATTTTGATAGTTAAAATTTTGGTATATTTACTGAAGATAGTGAGATATAATAAGGCGTGTGTGAAAGAGATAAAGGGTGAGAGAGAAGAAAATGATAGTGTTAGATATATTATAAAGACAAAGAGAGAGAGAGAGAGAGAAATGTGTAGGGGAGAAGTGAAATCAAAGATTATCTGTATTTCAAAAGAGAGATTAACATACCCGACATTTTGGAACCTACGTCAGGCTGAAACGTTAGATGTGGTTCGTCCGTCGACGTGTTTTTCAGTAGGTTATTCCAGTGCCTTTGATCTCCTACCAGAAGCTCTGACATCAATGTAAACTCATCGAAATTCCGCTAAACTATGTTACATCTTTTGAACGCACTTAGGAAAGTAACAGGTCTTCCTAACTCTAGACAAGCCGCAGATTTACGTGGTAAAAACTTGTCCAGATTTGCTGCGAGAATTCAGTTATTTTTATGATTCAATAATATGCACAACAATTGGTGCCAGGTTAGTTTAACGCTTAGCGGCTAGTAAAAAGAAATCGACCGAAATCACTACTTTCACTTTCACTTTTACTTTTACTTTCACTTTTGCACAAATACTGATTAGGAAAGGTATGGATGTATTTCTTTCTCCTCCAGCTCTCGGTTAAATAGTAAGCTAAACTAGGCTCTCAATCATTACTTGACAAACACTTTAGAAGAAGGGAATTCTGAAATGGGTATAGGGTAGCATATCCACCTCTTAAAACCTACTTGTTACGGTACCAACACCAGCAAGGCAGAGCGTGGATACCCATATTTGGGTAGACACTAGGTTTTTAAAAAAAAGTATCTTTATTTATTATTTTCGCCTACCGGCCTAAATATTTGAGAAATACGCGCTCTACGACGTGATTTAGACCATGGCAAGAATTAGTGGTCGATCAAGCAAAGCTAAATAGTGCCTTGTCCTGCGTATATTTTTATTAAATAAGATTTCTTGAATATTCAGGCCGGTAGGCGAAAATAAGTACAGTCACTGTTTAATATGTAAATGTAGATTCTACTCAAATATAGGTTCCATTAAAAATAAGGTTTAAGTAATAACATCTGTCGGATTAATAAATAAAAATCCGTCACTTCTTTAGAAATTGCTTTGTTTACGTTAAGATATGAAACAGAATAGATAGGAATTTTTGAGAGTCTGAAAAAGATTGGCGTTTGTAAAGCCCTATACCATTATGCTTGACCATCGACACACTTCGTGTCCGAGGTGGTCTAACGCATAATGATATCCCTGCCACAAGGGACCCAGGTTCAAATCCTGGCGGAGATCGCGTATTTTTTTTAATACGATTTCTTGAATATTCAGGTCGGTACACGAAATAAATAAGCGTTTAGAATTAGAAAAATATAGGAAAATGTTTATTCATATTGGAGTTTCATGAATAAACGCCCGGTTTAAAAATATTAATTTAAACCCATAAAATACTTATAAAGAGAACCTCGAAAGAGTTTAAAACAAGATTTAATATAAGATTTAGCATAACTGAGCCTCCGACCAACTCCATAACCCAAGGAAGTTGACATGACATTTATTTTGAAACCTGGTCGCTGTACATTCGTTAATTTTCATGTAATTTTGGTAACATAGAGATCCAGGACCAAAGTGAAAAATGCTTTGTAGATAGCTGTCTGGATTACCTAACAGAATGTTCTTTGTTTGAGAAGCTAATGAATCTTGCCTATTTCCAGGCTAGAAGTCTGTATAAACTGAATGCGCATGCGCATGAATAATTAGTAATTGAACATAATGAGTTAGTTCAGTTGGAGTCAGTCAGTTGGTGACGCCCGCAGTGAAAAGCGGCATAACCCGTTCAAACAACGTACAGTAGAAAAAGTCTGCCGTCAAAGTAATTCACTGTTAAGACATCAGCCCCACCAGCATTGCTTAACAAACAGACGTCTCTCAGGACCTCAAGGGTAGAAAAAGAATGATTGGGACGAAGATGTTGTACAGTTTTACTTTTCACCTCTAAATAAATTCTTAATTATTTTTCAACGGCGTCATTTTCTTCCATCTGACACATTTACCGCTCTTTGGTTGCATATATTATTATTATTTAAAATAATAATAATATTATATAAAGCATGTTCTTACTTAACTTTTCATATTATTATTATTATTATTATTATTATATTTTGATTTCTGCTATAGTCACACTACCTATCAAATCTGCGGGAAGACCTAAGGCAGGTAGTGATGTGTAGTTATGGCCACATTTCATGATTTATTTTTCCAAATCACATAACATCACTAACGTTAGATGGGCAAATGAAGAATGAAATGTTAATTTAAATCGAAGAGAGAAATAAAAGGGTTTAAACAAAACTTAAAAAATATAGATAAAGTGATATTTGATAAAAGAAAATCATGCTTAAAAGTGCTATTCTAAACACGTTATATTTAAAAATAAGTCATATTTAAATAATTTATATAAAAAATAATTAAAATTATAGTAAAAAATAAGTTTTACCTTTATAAAATCAACAGGTTATATTAAATAATAAAATATATTAGAAATAATAATAAAATAAGTATAAAATAAATTATAAATTTAGAAATAAAATATAATGAAATAAATCGAATAAATTAACTTTAAAGAACAGTTAAAACTAAAAAGACGTTATATTTAAAAATATAAAGTTATACTTAAAAAAAGAAAGTTATACCTAAAAATACAAGTTTACATTTAAAAAAAACAACCCTAAAATATAGATAAGAGGATGTAAGCAATAAAAGGAAAAAGAGTTCATAGAACAGGGGCCGATAATTAATATGGTGTATCGATGGAAATTATAATTAGTTATACATTAGACATTTGAAGAGTTAGAGAAATATAATAGTTAATAAAGTAATACCAATATTATAGAAATTTGAATTTGTCTTTATGTCGACATTTTAAAAGTAATTCATTAGTTGGCTTTGATTCTTGTATTTTATTGTTCTAATTTTTTCTTCATATATGTATATATATATATATATATATATATATTCTAAAGAATTCATGGATTTATTTTTAATCTGTCACTTTTATTACTCCAAGCATTATTATATTATATACACATTTTGAAACAGACACACCAATGTTATTATTATTTTAAACAGTATGTATTAACTTCTATCCGCTTGTATTGTTTAATTTTTCTTATGTTCTTACCAGTTTTTCCCTTTTTAAAGGCTATGATGGGGAAATTGTCCGCTGATGAGTTTTTCGGATCGAAAAATGACAACCTTCAATGACAAAAAAGAACAACTATATTCAACATGTCTCCTGAGAAAATCTTTCTCCGTCACATTTAACGTAGCGCCGCGTACACACATATATATATATACACACACACACGCCCATACATATATATATATATATATATATATATATATATATATATATATATATATATATATATATATATATTAAAACTCATCACATAAGCGTGTTATAACATCACTAAAAAATAGACATTTTGTTTCAACACTTCTGGTGTCACGTCAAGTGATGGTGTTGATGGCAAAATAAAGTTTTCAACTCTAATTTTAATTTTGCAGTTAACACCATCACTTGACAATGCACTAGAAGTGTTGAAACAAAATCGTTATTTTTGTAGTGATGTTATAACATACTTATGTTATAAATTTTGAATAAATATTATTCTCTCTACTTTGTAATGAACACTTTTTAAAAAAATAGTGGTTTTGGTTATTGGAATTTTATTCCATAGATACCAACCCTGTATTCGATCACACACACACACACACACACACACACACACACACACACACACACACACATATATATATATATATATATATATATATATATATATCAGAAATTTAATTGTGGAGCATTTTATTACCGATTACCAGGTATTACCGATTACCAGGTTTAATGTACGTTGTTTTGCGTATAGCTAAAATAACTAATGTGATTTTAGGCATTACTGTAAATCAGTTGGCAAATGTTTTCCGTGAACTGCAAAATCGTATTACCCAGTGTATTGCTAATGATGGAGGACATGTGTTATGTCTGCTCATGAGCCATTCTAAATTTCGTATGTTTTTTTAATTTAACAAAATATATATATATATATATATATATATATATATATATATATATATAGAGAGAGAGAGAGAGAGAGAGAGAGAGAAAGAGAAAGTGAGAGAGATCTGTGTGTGTGAAAAATACTTATGTCCGCAAAACAGAGGTATAGATTGGGAAAGAAACGGAAATATATCGTGAATGAAGAAATGGCGAGAGAGATTTGGGAACATACAGACAAAAGTGAAAGAGAGTAATTTAAAAACAGAGTGATAGAAAAAGATAGGGAGAGTGAGAGAGAGAGAGAGAGATAGAAGGAGAGAAGGAAAGAAAAAGAAATAAATACAAACTGGAAATCGGAGAGAAGGGATGAGGGAGATTTGGAAGGAGAGATAGTGAAGAAGAAATTCGCTATTAGAGGAAGAAGAAGAATGAAAGTTGGATTGAGAGAGAAATGAAGAGGGTGAATGAGATGGTTAGAGAGAGAGAGAGAGAGAGTGTGTGTGTGTGTGCGTGTACAGGGAGAGTAATATGAGAAGGAGGCAGAGATGTAGAATGTAGAATGTTGGAGACGAGGAATCAAAGATATTCTGTGATCGAATAGACATATTAACGTGACTTATTCTTTTGTAACAGTTGCAGTTTGAAGCAGATGTTTTCCGTCAAATGAGGAGCTTTTTTCCCTGATGACCCAAGTACAAGAATTTAAGCTTTCTACTGGATTTGCATCTAGATCCCACCCTTTTGCTGGTGAAATAGCTAAATGCAACGACCACTTCTATACCAACAGCTTCTTTTCTTGCACTCCCCACCTGTGGAACTCCCTTAAATTTCCTTGCTTCTCTGATGAATAGAATCTTCAAAAATTTATATGCAACACCATCGCCATCTTCTATCTTCTTGAATCCCGTTCATCTTTTATCCTTCCCTCAATCTTCCCGATACTCAGTTTTTCCACCTTCTGTTACTATAACCCCCTGTCTATTAGTGGCATTCCCGCCTTGCTTGAGGTGAAATGATTAAAAACAAAACAAAAGAAACACCCCGTCATTTTCCCATGCAATAAAGTGATCTTCCTCACTCGAATTATCCATTCTGTATCAGCGTGCCTGCCGAGAATAATGAAAAGTTATTGTTGTGGATTCCGTGAATGGAATCCTGCACAAATAAATAAACAACGCCAGTAATTTTGATAGAATAATAAGTGTATTAAACGTAAGAATACAGACTTGAAGTAAAGATTAACAGTCCAGGAATGCGGGTTAGTAGAAAGTATATGTACAAGTCTCTGTAAGTAAAGCCGTAATCATCTCTCTCTCTCTCTCTCTCTCTCTCTCTCTCTCTCTCTCTGGACTCTTGTATAACTCTCTGAGAACACCATGTGTCTGTCTCTGTATCTCTCAACCTGTCTCAATGTATCTCAATATTTAACAGTCGCCCCATGAGGAATGTATGTGGCACAAGGCCGAGTTTAACGTTGGTTTCTCTGAGCCCGTAGGCTCGCCCAAAAATATACCCTTTGAACCCGCCTAGACGAGTTCAGGGCCTGTCTACCTCCCCGGACGAAACTTTGCCCTTCGGTAAAGCTTCGTCCGAGCTCCTCTCTGCCGAAGCAGAAAATTCGACATCTCAACGTATCTCAACAGCAGATATACTTTGGGCGAGTCCATCTTATGTAAAAACGGGATAGCCCCACAACAGTTATCAATTCAGAGGCCAAGATAACGAAATTTTTATTATAAAACAAGTTAGTCTACTATAGAGCACTTCGGTTATTTTTTTCGCAACGGCTACATTAATTGAACATATTTAGCTCCTTTTTAGAAATATGAATACCTGATTACAGGTGAATGAGTTTATATCAACGGTATACGGGAGCACCTACAGAAAATCTAGTTGACCATAGCTTGGTAGCGCATCTCTCCTCTGACATGGCTTTAACAAATCAATGGGGGAAAAACTGGCTGGTGGCGTTCAATACCTCAAACTTGTAACGTCCCGTCCTCACTGAGAAGCCCCTGACTTTCTGTCTGTCGTAATGAACGGATGTTCTTTGGAGGAGGCCACTTGTCTTGTACGTCTAATGGGATTTAAGCTAACCTCAGGTCTCAAACGGATTACGATGCATTGCTATAGATTCTCGAAAAATGGTTGGTTTCCTTTAAGGTTTCAAAAGTAGCAGACTTTTGCAATGCTCTACTTTTACAAGTGCCAGATCAGCGTTAAAACGCAATGCCATATCTGGGCTAAAACCGCCCGGTTTTCACTTTCCAGTCTTAAGTTCAAAAGCGTTTACACGACCTTGTGGGTGATGGATTGTTTTCTAGTCCTTTCCCACTGAGTTGCAATTCTATTGCTTCTCTGTCGCTATTGTTATAGTTCTATCAACTCTTATGCTTTCAACTAATTCCAACCAACCTCATTCCCATTTGTGTTCCTTTAGTAAAGAGTAAGCTTCACTCGGATACAATCTTCCCAAGAACTGTAGCATTGTGGCCCAGAATCACTGGAGGATGCTTTTTCTGGATACTACAAGCATAAACACTTCAAGTCTAGGGTTAACCGTTATTTTTCCCGAATAAACTGAGCTCCTAACGCTTAACACTCGCAAAATAACCGCCTTCATTAACCCTCTACATTGAGAGGAACTTGAGCCCTATATAGGGTGAACATTAGTTAAAAGAAAGCTATTATAAACAGCTTATAGAATGGAAAAATGGACGCGTTTCCGAGTGGTTAGAACGTTCGCTTTCTGACCATAAGACCCAGGTTCGAATCTCACCATGGTCGATTTGTCAGGAAAGAGACTTCCTGGTGTTGTCGGTCTGGAGGGAGATGATCCCAGCGTGCGGCACCTTTGGAAAGTGACTGAAAATCATACCACGGGTTGACCCAAGCCTTGTGAATGAAAGTGAGTAGACGGAACCCTTGGGGACCGTCGTTAGCTGTGCTAGCACGAAGTCACAAGTCATCGTGACTGAGGGTTTGAGTGTGCTAGTCTTGTTCAGATTGTTGATCATTGTAGATAACACACTCTCTCCCAGAAACTGTAACTAAGGTCTGCTCAGCATAGATGCAGTATAAACCACAGGTTCGCTACGTGGGTGTTGAACAAACACAAATGTGCCTTAGCGAGCGTCACAATATCGATTGGCTAGCCGCCCTAATAGACGGGTATCCCCGAATAAAAGTGACCAGCTATTCTTTTCATTATATTATTATAGATTAGAACCATAATATAATATTCTGTTAAAAAAAAAAAAAAAAAAACTAAACAAAAAAAAAAAACAGGTGTTTACGGTAAAAGGTGTATTACCTGGCCTAATGGGAAATAGTTAGATTAGTCAAGCTCCAATCACACGCCAGTGGTTATTCTAGACAAAGCTAAAACTGTACCTGGGTATATTCTTGTAGTAGGTTAATCTGAATTGCAACGCCGGATTATTAATAGGTTAAATATATCTATATATTTAAAAGGATTTTAATTTATTATAAAAAGATATTCATGTCATTTTAAAAATGAAGATCAATTGCAATCATTCCATAACGAATATTTTGTTACTTCAACGTGGTGTAATGGTCTGCAAACTTGTCTGTCCAGAATCATTATGTCTAGGTAGTCAGTTTCATCGTTACTGGGTGCGCCATACTTACGGCATTGAGCTACAATTAAAAAAGCTAAGCTTTAAAAAATCACCATTGTGGGTTTAAAAATATAATTCTATTGAAATTAACTATTTTTTTTAAGCATTACGCCCCGAGCAAGGCGTGGAGCCACTAGCATGCAGGGGGTTGCAGAAGACTTGGAGCGAGAGCAGATATGAGTGATAGAAGAAAGGATGAGGAGAAGGATAGTGGATAGATCAAGGTAACTGGAGATGTCGATTGACATTACATTTCAATAGTTGGAGATTATAGCTCACAGGGAAACAGGAATAGGAAAGAGAGTTCCACAGGCGAGAGGTGCGAGGTATGAAGCTATTGGAGTAGAAGAGACGGCTACATTTAAAAGTTTCTACGCTTGAATTCATGGAGTCTGGGAACCAGCGAAAACAGCTCATCGGAGCAATTACCATGAAAGTATTTGTAGAAAAGACAGAGAGAGGCGACGGCGCGTCTGTGAGAGAGCGACTGTAGACGAGATGCCAGATCAGGGCCAATTATATTACATATCCGTCTCTGGATCTTGTCAAGAACTCCGAGGTAAACAGAAGGTGCTCCGGACCATAAATGGCAGCCATACTTCATGCAAGGGCGAATGGTTGATTTGTATATTTGAAGTATCGATTCCGGGGAGAAAAATTTCCTGACGCGGCACAGAGATCCTTCTACAACTTACTTCAGCGTCTTTTGTCAAATTTAACATGCTATATTTATCTACAACCACGACACATTTGTTGCTTGCATATTATCCGCAAATGTCAATGATGACCTGTCTATGTTTTGGTTTATTATGTCATGTAAAAATACCCCCCGCCATCTCCACCTTCTAAGCTCATTTTTTTTTCTATTTAGCGTTATTCTGGCATTTGATTGGTTGATCAAGGAAAACCAACAAGTCTATTTTCAATTCTGATCTTTTGCTTCCTCAACTACCTTTAGCTTTAGAAAAAAAGGCATAACATTTTGCTTTTGAATTTTTCTTAAAAACCGTTTAATCAACAGTTACTTATTATCGCCTGAAGAGGTACAACATAGTGCCGAAACACGAAAGCTATTGTGTAACGATTTCAGTGATTTTTGTTCTAATTACCCTTAATAAAAATAAAAATAATATACAAGGTCTGCCTGAAAAGTAAAGTGATTAGTCTCAGAAACAATTTATTTCAATTACAAACAACAAACTACATACCTTCTTCTTCAATATAATCGCCATTGAATCTAATAAAACATTTCAATCCTTCTCTGCAAAGCTTCTATGAACTACTCGTGTTCAATACCAGGGAGAGAGCCTTTGTAAATTGAAGCAAACACCCGGGAGACAAAAGTATGTTACATGCTAAACGCAATCTTCAGATGATATATATATATATATATATATATATATATATATATATATATATATATATATATATATATATATATCACTGTTTCACATCTCCTCAGTGCCACTAGACATCCGAATGCCTCAAGCCAGGATCGAAATCCAACTAATTTGGCGTCAGTCAGAGCCTCTACCACTGAGCTATCTGCACTCGACAGAGTTACGTGGCTAAATCTAGCGTATTGTTTTTACGAACGTAAACAAATGCCAATCAACCGAAGTGCTCCATTCATTTTACTTGAAGAGCTTTGCATTAGCGCAAGTGGCTGTTCTTTATAGAATTAGCTTTTTCACTCAGCGGTGCTCAATTGAAATATATTTTCAAGAGCTAAATTATGTCATTCGCAGACAGTACTGTCTGCGAATGACATAATTTAGCTCGTTTCATTGTATCACAATTCCGGAGTGCGACTAGACATCCGAATGCTTCAAGCCAGGATCGAAACCAAACCGATATATATATATATTGGCTACGGCTGTATCACGTTGAAACACAGTTAAGCAATGTCGACCTGGTCCGTATCTAGATAGGTGACCGCTTGTGGATAACAGCAGTTGGATGTGTGTGTGTGTGTGTGTGTGTGTGTGTGTGTGTGTGTGTGTGTGTGTGTGTGTGTGTAGGGGGGTAATTGGAAATCGGAGAGCCGTGTTCTAATTCCACGCGGGTTCCCTATATTCCTTTTACGCGCAAATACCATTGGGAAAATTATGAATCAGCCTCGTCTCCCCAATCTACGGGTTAATTAGTAAGATTTGTGTCACTAAAATCATTACTATCTCAAAAAAAATCTTAAAAACTAACAATATTTTCTAGCTTTAAATAACATACAAAGGGTTGATAAACTGTAAAAAACGAATTAATTATTCAAATCGTTTCCATCCATAAAATATTCGCCATTCGTTGACTAACCAGTAAGCGTTAGTAAAAATTCATAAAATATTTCTCTTAAAAGAGGTTTTCAGGAAAAAAAGCGTTTCAAGTCCATTGTTATGGCTCTTTCCAATATCAACGGCAGTTTCCATCCTAAGTTTTTGTTTAAGGTATTTTGG